AACTAGCTCTTGTAGACCAGGCTGGTCTTGAACTCACAGAGATCCACCTGCCTCTGCCTCCCGAGTGCTGGGATTAAAGGTGTGCACCACCAACGACCGGCTAAGATTTTTTTTTTTGTTGGTTTTTTTTTTTTAAATGATTTTTTTTTTTTTAAGAGAAGAGAGACAGAGAGAAGAGAGATGAAGAGAGAAGAGTTAATGGCTGACCACCATGGTCGATCACCAGAGAGAGAAACAGACTGGGAGAAGTTGGAACTTTTTTTTTTTAAGATTTTATTATGTATACAACATTCTGCTTCCATGTACATCTGCCCCCAAAAGAGGGCACCAGATCTCATAACGGATGGTTGGGAGCCACCATGTGGTTGCTGGGAATTGAACTCAGGACATCTGAAAGAGCAGCCGGTGCTCTTAACCTCTGAGCCATCTCTCCAGCCCTTTTTAAATGATTTTATTCACATATTATGTATGGTGTTCTGTCTGCATGAATCCTTGAATGCCAGAAGAGGGTGCTAAATCTCATTTCAGAGGGTTGGGAGCAACCATGTGGTTGCTGGAAGACCAACAAAACCCCTAAGTCATCTCTCCAGCCCCAAACACAAAATTTCTAATGGCCATGTAGAATACTAATGTATAAGTGCCGCTTTTTTTCTTTTTAATTTTAAAGGTCTCACTGTAGCTCCATCTGGTCTCAAATTTACTATATACACCAGGCTAGCCTCAAACTCAAGAGATTTGCCTGCTTCTGACTTCCAAATGCTCACCATTAAAGGTGTGAGCCAACATGCCTGGCATAAAAGGCTTATTTTTTTTTTTTTTCTGAGAACTTCACAGTTTTCATTTACAATCCTTCTGCTTCAGTCTTCCAAGAAGCTGAATTACAAGTGTACACTGTCACATTCATTTTGGAGGGAGGTTTTCTTTTTTCTTTTTCCAAGACAGGAAGACAGGGTTCCTCTGGGTAGCTCTGGCTATCTTAGAACTCACTCTGTAGACCAAGATGGCCTTGAACTCACAAAGATCCACCTGCCTCTGCCTCCTAAGTACTAGGATTAAAAGCATGTGTCACCATCTGGCCAGTTATTCTTATTTTAATATCTCCAAGAATTTCTAGCCTGCCCAGTGACCCAAAGTTGTGTCTGCTGTAAGGGTTTGCCATTAGGTGTAATGTTATGGCGGCCTTTTATTGGGTCACTAATCACGGAGAATATCTAATCACCCTCTTCCACACTCACCTTCCCACATTACCAAGATGAAAACAGGTTTCCTTGGTCACTCAATTTGACTTTTCAAGTCCTGGGAATTAAAGCTAGGAATTTATGTGTCTAGCTAAACTAACTACTAATCCCTCAATTTGATCTCAAGAAAGGAATTCTAGCTCCACTTTTTTTTTTTTTTGGTTTTCGAGACAGGGTTTCTCTGTGGCTTTGGAGGCTGTCCTGGAACTAGTTCTTGTAGACCAGGCTGTTCTCGAACTCACAGAGATCCACCTGCCTCTGCCTCCTGAGTGCTGGGATTAAAGGCGTGCGCCACCACCGCCCAGCTCTCTAGCTCCACTTTTTGAGACGAGGTCTCAATCAACCCAGGCTGATTTCAAACTTGGTATCCTCTTGCCCCAGTCATGTAGCCCACCAGGAACAGCTGTGCATCTCAATCTCAATGCACCCTGAATCCCTCAGGTGTCCTGCTCTACTATTCTCTATCTCATTCCTCCCAGAGCTCATGGATTCTCCCATCATCACTAAAGGCCCACCTCCACACCACTCTACCACCAAAGTCAAGGACTAGGAAACCAGACACCAAGGGTTTCACAAGAAACTGACCTTTACTCAACAAAGTTCTACACAAGTGGAATCTCACGCCACCGAGGCGCTAGTCCCCAGCACAGCACAGTAACAGACGGACAGACCTGGGAGCCCTCAGGGTAATGGTAATGAAAGTCTCAGGGAAATGGGGGGTGGGGGTGGCACTGCAGATCAAGGTCAGTCTGTATCTGCAGCCCTGGGCAAGGAAGGTTAAGAAACTGAAACTTCATTGTGCAAAAAACCAACTAAAAATAAATTAAAAAATTAAATAATTTCTTTAAAAAAATAAAATAAAATAAAATAAAAAAAGAAAATACAAGAATTGGGCTCCCCTTTCCTGAAGGTGGTTGGCACCCCCACCTTGGGCAGAGGTGGTCACAACACCATCAGACAGTCAATCCATCAATACACCCCAAGATCCAGCAGAGGATGCTCCAAAGAAGTGGAATTACCAGAAAGCTAATGGTATTTTTCTTTAAAAAAAAATTTTCCCTACAAATGGCTTCCAGAGACCTGCTCAATTTTGAGGCTGGAGGGGATTGGGGGCCACCAGTTGAGTTATGGAATGTGCACTAAGTGTCCCTGGGAATAGAGGCAGGGCCCGACCCTACTTGAGAGCAGACACGTGGCCTGGATGGGATAAGGTCCAGGTCCTGGAGGGATGATGGAACAGGCCCTAAGGGGCAGAACTTGGGTCAAAGCCCAAAATATAATGGGCCCCCAAAGTAGTAGGAAGCAAGGAAGGGGATGGAGGATAAACGTTCAGGGACCTTGCAAGGCTGATTTCCACAGCCAATATGGAAATAATCCATGCCCCCCTCCTCAGAATGCCCCTCCCACCTTGATGGAATCCCCTACCAATTTCTTCAAGCATTTTTAGAATTAGTGTACCAATCTGGTGGGGGTTCTGAGTCCAGTGGACACTGTGATGAGCATTAAATCCCAAAAGGGACAAAGTTTGAGGCCCTGGGTACACCCTGCTCCTCCAAGACTTCAAATCTTGCTGGACCCAGTAAACCTTTGTCCTTTGTCCTCACCAATCACCCGCTGTTGCCCCAGCTCTTGAGAAGGAAGTTCTCAGGGACAGAGAACTCAACTATCCTTGAAACTGTTTCAAGAGCGATCCAAGAAATGCCAGCAGCTCTGGCTGCCCTTAGCCCTCTTAAGGAAAACTAGTCCCAGGCCTATGCCTTTAAATACCTTTGGAGCACAGGAAAAGCCTATAGGGTAGCCTCAAGCCAGTCCCAGCAGCTCCAATGGTCCCCATTCTGCTGCTGGCTGGGATGTAACAAAGATGGGGACACACTAAATGAGGCTGCCATGAAGCTGGCAGGAAGTGTATGGAGCAGGTCCAAAGTGTGCAAGTGCTGAGAGGGTAGCCCCAAAATGACCGCCCTCCTCCCTTGGCCCTGGGGGCCCAGCTGAGGTCCCCCAAACCTCCCAGCCCTCCCAATCACCACCAATTCCGGCAAAACAGCGGAAGCTTCTTATACTCTAGATGCAAGGTACACAGAAGGCCATAGGCATAATTTGGGGGTTCACTAATTCTACTGTCTCCATGCAGTCGAGGAAATGGTGGGGCCGCTGGCCCAGCCTAGCTGGCTGTGGTGCCTGCACATGCGTGTGTCCACATGTGTACATGTGAGTGTATGCTTCTCTACAAGGAACCCCCCTCCCCACCTGTAATTCCCTTGCCTTATCTGACACCGGATTCGGTAGGCCTTAGGATTCCTCCCTCCCACATGGCTGGCCCAATGGGCTGCCTGAGATGACCCAGATTAGAGCCTAGAGAACTCTTGCCCACCAAGAAGTCCCACCCCCCTCCCTATTTGTAGGATGAGCATGGAGTCCCCAC